AGGTTTATTTGCAGAGGTTTGATATTAAGCTTTCTTTCCAACAAACCACATTGCGCATATAAATACATATCGTCGTTTAAAGTGCAAAACCGCGTATCAGCAAAATGCAAAACCGTGTATGTGAAGTTGTAAAAATTATTTTCTAGAGCGTTCAAAATGGTTCTCTTTTGTATAAAGCAATCGCATTTCTGGCTAGTGTATTTCAGGACGAATAGATAAGGATTGAGCTAAGAGCTTGTGTGAGCAAATCCAATTTTTGGCAGCCAATGTCAGTTACGCGGTTTTACAGAATGACGATACGCGGCCTTGTACTTTAAACGACGATATATTTGAAATGTAATACTTTATAGCATTTTATGGCTTATAATTAAGGGTTGCAAATATATAGTTAAATAACTCAAAATACTTAAGTAATTTAAAAAAATATACGTGAATACTTTAACTTGTATGCAGTTTTATAATCAACATTTGATTTTGACGATTTGTGACGCCCAAAAACAAATCAATCATACGCGCTGGTGCACCGGATGTGCAAACATGCAGCGCTTACAAATAATTGAAGAAAAAAAAACAAATACAAACCTAAATTGCAAATGCATGTTGACACCAAATGTATTTACATCGCTCAATGTAGTCAATCTGAAATGGGCATATGACAACGCATAAAACTAAATACAAAACATACGTCACAGCAAAAGCAATTAGATACAGAAAGCGCCACCACCACACAAAATGTCAATAAATTTCAAATCTAGCACTATATACTAATTTTATACAATTCTGCATGTTTTTCTATATACATATGCATATACCTACATATGTATGTGCATATGTTTCCACTGCATGAGGTGAGAAATATGCAAAGTTTTCAGCGGCAATAAATTAAAATATTGATTAGGATATGCACTAGGCTGGATCGTGGAAAAAAGTTTGTAACTGGAACTATTTGAAAAAACCAACCAACAAGTGACTTTGGAAATGTTTTGTTTATATTGAAAAATGGTCGCAGTGGCTGACCTTCAAAATTATAAACAATCTTATTATTTTCATAATATGCTTGCTTAATAAAGATTTTTTTTTAAAGAATCAACTTAAAAAAATACAAACGAACTGAAACTGAAGAATTATCAAATTATGTAATTAGTTAAGTGCTTATATATAACTATATTTGAAATCGGGCGGGATATAATGGGGAGAAGGGTGTTTAAGGCGGGGTTAACCTGCCTTAGGGTTCATGCACTACCTCTTCGTGCCTACACCTTTGGTGAATACCGTTCACCCACCCAGCAAACACAGTTTCAGAAGTTTGAGTAAAATGTATTGCGATTGTAACTATAAATTGAATTCACTTGAAAAAAGATAACAATGATTAGAAAAAGATTAAAAAAGAAGGTGCACAAATAGTGGATTTGATGTTTGTGCGGGTTGAAGGTAGACAGCCCAGCTGCAACACTTCAAGACGAATTTAATAGAAATTAATTTAGTTGATTTGTTTTTTTATTATGTATGTATATACATACATACATACATACATACATACATACATACAGTACAACGTACATTGTACATCGTGAAGAAAAAATATATATGAAATTCACATTTCCTATAATAAATTTTATTTCCACATTTGAAGTACAATTGATAAATAACCTTTGAAATTGATTTGGGAATTAACCATATTCTCAAATAGAGATCAAATTCTCCTTTTTATTGAGAAAGCCGAGAATTTTTAAGACAATATCAAATCATTTTCAAACATAATTGTTTGCTGGGTACGTATTATCTTGATATTTGTATGTGTCATCTTCTACTTGCAAGTAAGCACTGCAGATTAGAGAATCAATTTCGTATAGTATTTTCTTAATGTATATAAGTATCTATATTAGGGTGGTCCAAAATAAGTAAAGTCAGGATTTTAATGCCCTCACCTCCTAGGATTGTTCTATATCAAAAAAAATTTTACCCCTAGTTTTTTATTTTGATATCAAAAAAAAACATTTAAAAGTCTCCCAAGAGCTTTCTCTGAATTTTATATGGGGAGAAAACAACTTTCCATGGAAATAGTATGGAATTCTTGAAAATCATTATTTTTCGATCGGAAAACTATATTTCTCTTCTGGACCACTTTTTAATACTATAGATAGATTATTTATCCCCGTATTGCATTTTCTGGTATTTTTAGGCGTTTTTGCGGACTTATAAAATATATTTACTACGAAAAAATTGTTAAAGGAATAATTGGGTACTATTATTGGGAATATCCTGAAGAAAAAATGAGTTTTCTAGTCGAAAAGTATGGATCTTCAAGAACTCTGTACCATTTCTACGAAATTTTTTTTCCCCTTTGAGCGCTTTGAGCGACTTCTAAATATTTTTTGATTTCAAAATAGGGGGTGAGAGCATACAAATTCCGACTTAACTTTTTCACATGCATTTTTGGAGCACCCTAATCTACACATACATACCTATTATATATATATATGGTTATACTTTCTCCAGTGCATCGTATTGTAAGTTTATTTATTTTAGTATCTATATACTTTAATATGTTGATACAATTATCTGTGATAATACTGCCGCTTGAGGCATATACGCCCTGCCTAATTACATTCAGTTTCCTTCTTTAAATCGATTGTCTATTATTTTGTACATACAATCTATAATTAAAAGACACATTTGTATACACGCATTGCAGTTTTTTTCGAAGTTTTTACATAGTGTATGGGGCTATTATTTATAGCCCATCTAAGTAGTTCTTAATGCTCTTCTCCTCGTTTTATTCCTACCTCTCGCCTTCGAAGTGGCTCCGGTTGATTTTCTGTTAATATGCCTATATGACTACGAACTGTGAAGAATCTCAGAAAACCCAGTCGATGTAGCCAGATTACGAACTACAAAATAACATTTGCTTGTAATCATGTTCGGATAAAATTACAGAAAGTTGGTATACATAGGCTGCGTTTTTTTATACATTCCAGATAATCCCATTTCACAGCCAGAATAAACCGAATGCGTTTGAAATATTCGTTAGCATATCAACAGGAACATTCTAAACATTATGAACATGACGATTCTAAAGAATAAGTAAATAAAAAAGTTTATTCCAAACGTTCAGAATGAATAAACAAATGCAGCCATATTGCTCTGAAATCCCTCAATTATTTGCTAAACAAAATCGGAAAAATCCGTATATCTCAGATATTTTTGGCATAATTAAGGTCTGCAATAGCTCTACTTAAAGAGGGAAAAATATAGTTTGTTTAAGATACAGAAATATGTATGGATTTAATACAAGTATAGGATGTAATTTTAATCCAAAGTTACCGTAACAAATATTTTTAAGATTTTTCTTGAGCTTTTTGATTCACGGAGTCAATGGTTATCAACTAAACTTAGATTTGAAGTAATTTTTTGTTCGCTTTTATGGCAAAGGAGGATTCTACATTTAATTCTAAGAAAATTTTCCGAAGAAACAATGGATCTAAAATCAACTTGGAGTTAGATTTCGAAGAAAATGTGAACATGTTTACTGCTGCGGCCTCTAGTAGAAATTTTAAGAAAAAGTCAAGTGCATAAAAGGATTTCCCGTAATTAACTTATAGCGAGTTTTTATTCAATTCAAGCACTTCTTTACGACTCTACAGCAATATCCAATGAAACTTATTTTCGCAATGTGACATACTCAAAATTGATTTTAGACCCATTTGTTTTTCGGCAAATTTTCTTGGAATTACACGTAAAATATTTCTGTGCTATACGCGCATAGTCGAAAAAGTCTCTCATATCTACAAATTTACCAAAATCGTTTTGTAGATGTGATGTGGAGTAAAATTATGTATAAGTATTAAAAATTAAAAGGACGATTTTTAAATTTTTCCCCCGTTAACCAATTCAAGCGCTGAGTAACAAACTTTGTAGCTGGTGTTTAATGTAAAAAGGAGAACAAATTATCTGATGAAATTCCAGTAAGTATTCCACAATAAAAAATATATAAAAAATGTTCTTCAAGATCTTGGGCTTTAATAAACGCTTAAGCTAGTTTATGCAATAAGTAGATGGTTTTAAATTCTTTTAGGCCTTTTAGATGAGTAATCCAATGACCTTCGAATTTCAAAGGATTTTCCACGTATATGTATATGTAATAAGTTAACTATTTTAATGTTACTTTTTTACTGAAAACCTTTAAGATGTGGTTAATTGAGGGATGTTTTACTGATATTTGTGCATAATTTAACAGAAAATGTCTGGCATAGCCGATTGGGTGTCGACTTTTTTTTACACCTCCTGAAAGCTTACTTGGAGGAAATTTAGTGTCATGCACAGAAGCATAATTTTTGTATTCTAAATTTAACCCGATTTTAAAAGCTGATACACACACCTTGGAAAGACAAGTTAAGTACTATGCATACCTTTAAGAACATATTGATCTAAATTATCACCTTTCACAAGTGAACCCACAGAACTCAATTTCTACTGGCATAGATTAAATTTTACTTGGCATAAATTCGAAAAAATTTTAAGTGTTACGACGCGTCAAGAACAAACATTTTTGTGACTCAAAGCATCTTTAAACCATAAAGGGGGCATTTCAAAAACTTATTTTATCATATGCAAACCGATCCGGCCTAATGCAAGCAAATGCGTGTTATTTGGATATATGATATTTTTATTCCTTCGATATAGGTACATATGTTCCTTACGTGCGTTTGTAGTAATATGGAATTCATTCCCATTTGAAGGCTTAGAAACGCGCGTCTGAATTTTCCGCTCTACTTAATACGCGCTCACTTCCTATTTGAGCTGTTTTTTAAAAAACATATACATATAGCAGTACACAAATAAGCTTTTCACAGAGTAGCGCACCATTTTATATATACATACATATAAATAGGCACATTACGTTCTTCTTTACTCTCTTACTTTTCGATCTTTTTGCTAAGTATATCTAGTATAAGCACATATACGGCAACTCTTTTTATTTGTTTTTTTTTGCTTTGCAGGCACGTTGTACAAAATCGGCGATGTACTGCCACAGGATACCGGAAATTGCCTGCAATGTGTGTGCATAGATGGCTCGACGAGCGATGACACGCCGCGCGTCACCTGCAGTCCGCACAATTGTCCGCCGCTAGTGCTGCCAGATCTCTTCGATGCGACAGGATATTAAGCAGCACGACAGATGACTGCAAAAATCAACCAATAATAACAACTACATACACAAGTCAGCTCATTCGATGCATCGCTGTGAATTCACTCAAACCCACGCACACATCAACACACACATACTCACAATGGACAAAGGCGAAAAATTCTATATGAGTGCATCACTACTGATGATAGTGGCAGTATCAATAACGATGCGTTTCGCTGGCAGATAGCTCATCAACTATAGCAACTGATGTCGTTGAATGTTGAAAGGTAAATTGCTTATAACATCAGACAGCGCGTGATTTATTGACATTTGGACCATGTCCGGGGGGAGGGGTACGCAAATCGGGGACGTATTAGATATTAGCGCTTAACAAAATCGTCAGCTATCAGCAGTTGCATTTTCCACCGCTGTTAAGTCAGCTTTAAATGTCATATTTCCTTCTGTGTAGAGTTGCATAAACTGGTATTCATGAAGCAGGCACACCAGGGCGTATACGAGCGCTGCAGCTGGCGCTTATATAACTTAGAAATGGTAGTATATACTGAACTGGGGCAAATTTACTCATATTTATTTATAGCAGTTGATTAGAAGTTTGTTTTTACTTTGTTTATTATTTATTTCCAGCAATGTGGTTTTTGTTGGTTTTCGTTGATAATTTTGAAATACACCCACATGTTTGCGATGTTGTGTGATTTTATGCTTTCACGCTTTGCTGATTTTGAAAATTATATACTTAAGGTTAACTAACCATGATGTGGGTAAGCCCACGCCCTTACAAAACTACACAGCGTGCGTATTTGTGAACACACAGATAAATATTTACAATTGTTATTGTGTTAATACCAATGAATTTGAATGAGCAAAGCATAATTATGGATAGAGGTTTGGTCACTAAATGGCTAATTTTCACTAGAAGGAAGAGTAGTAATAAAGTTGTGGAATTTTATTTCAAATTTGAAATGTTGTAGAGTTTGTCCAAACAAGTTATGAATTATGAAAACTGCACAGTACATATGTGGCCTTGAGAGCCAGAGTAGCCTAATTGAAATTTAAATAAAAATGCAGGTACAGCTTGAAATGCATTAATAGCATCGAATCGGTAATACCTAGACGCACGTGCATTTCGTTTTCTTTTACTAAAATAAAATTTCATCACCTGTGTAGGTGCAAGTAAGTTTCATTAAAAGACAGTGGTTGTTACTTCAGAAATATTTATTTAAAGATGCGATATCTTCTTAAACTTTTCTCATTTGACAACTCAACTTGAATTTTTAAACAGGGGGCAAAATTATCCAAGGATATTCATGAGCTTACTAAAGCCTCTCTCTATAGATACCCATATTAATATATTTTTTTATATTGTTTAATAATTTTATTTTGAATAAAATAAAAATATTTTTGAAATAAAAATCTCTTAAACGTCTTTGGATTTCGCATTGTGAATTGCAAAATATTCGTATTTAAAATATATGTTTCTGCACTGTAAATTTAAATATCTTCCTTAACTTTATTTACTTTCAGCTAATAAATCAATAATCTTCGGTCAAACCAAAAAGTACCGTCAAGGCATATCCCCCAACAAATCAAACTTTCAAAGAAACATCACGTTAAACGTATTCTTACACAAACCTTTATATACTATATATGTATGCTGGCGAAATAAAATTAAAAAAAAAAACACAAACCATATTCCTTCCAAACAATCTTGCACACAACTTCAGACAGCAAAAAAGGTCACCTTATTGTAAGTGTTTAACTAGCATATATGAAAGAAAGAATTAAAATCAATGATAAAGTGAATGAAATCAATTGATAAAATGAAACTAATAACATTGAAAGGGAAATCTCAAATTTTGAATCGATGCCAAAAAAATGCCCAAGCACATAAACTTAATTTTAGGTCGTACTTAGATTCCAACAATCTGAATAAGAAATATAGCAAATTAAAGGTAAAGAAATTCGTCGCCATAAACGAAATTTACTTCATTTTTCGACAAGTTTAGCGGCTTCTGAGAAGTTTATTAATCATTCCAGATTTTTTTAACGGAAAAGGAGCAAATCAAATTTTGGGAGGGAAAAAATTTAAAAAACTAAATTTTTTTGATTTCTTTCATTTTCATTAACAAAATCCTACTAACGAAGAAAATCGATGAATAAATAAAAAGTTTGAGTAGGTCTAAATTTTTTTGTAAGAAATGTTAGCAGAAAAGAATATTAGATACTCATACGCCATACTCGTGTATTTGAAGTTAGCATACAAAATGAGGCAAAAAAGATAAGATTCTGGTGTGAGTAGCTCATGAATCGTTCTTTCAAGCTATGCCAAAAAGAAGTACTTTCACAGAATTCACAAGGAAAGAAAGTTCTACAATAAAAACGGTATAAAACATCGGCCATCTAAAAATAGATTTGTGGGACTCAGAGGGTTGTACAACCGCCACCATCTTGGAAAGAAGGGTGAAAGGGTTTCTCGAATATTACATCGATTCCGTTCATTTTTTTTCGAAAAAAAAAACTTAACAACATTTTTGCTGGTTGAAAAAAAAACATTTTTTGTTTACGACTCTTTTCTAACGTCATTAATAATAATAATAAATTGTCGCTTACACATATGTTAGTGTTTGGCCGAGCTTCTCCTCCGACTTGTGGCGTGCGCCTTTTTGTTGTCACACAACGGGCAGGGACCTACAGTTTTACGCCGACTCCGAACGGCGATTGTATTTTTATGAGAAGCTGTTTTTCATGGCAGAAATACACTCGGAGAAAAAACCTTCTTTAAATTTTTTTTTTTGCGGTGTTGCTTTGATCAGGGCTTGAACTACACCACATAACATCATTATTTTGCATATTAATACAAAAATGAGTGTTAATTTTTTTACCACTTTTCGGCAGTGTATTTCCGCGCGATTCCTCATTCTCAAATCTTCCGAGAGAGCGCTAGGTTTATACAACTCATTTGAAAAAAATAGCAACAAAGTAGAACCATATGAAAACTAGAACCGTCCGAAAAAATGAACGGTGTCGATATAAATTGTGAAAAAGCTTTACACCATTCTTTCCAAGATGGCGGCAATTCCATAACTACCTGAGTATCGCAAATCTGTTTTTAACATCTCCTAAACCTACTCAACCATAACCCAAAGATGCAAACCAAAAATGGACAGAGTTTTGCTAATTTCACTAAACTATTTAATGTTTGAAAAAAATAAAAATTAAAGCTGTTCTCAGTTGCTTTTCCATAGCTCTAGAGTTCCTAAAAAGGAAAAAAAAGTTCTTCAAATAAGCCGAAAAAGAGTTTAAAATGTCCAAAAAAATATTTGCATTTTTCTGAAAACAATTTTTCCTTTGTAGGAGTGCTCTCTCAGAACAATCTTCATTTGTATTTTTATTTTTTTAACATTAAACCCCTGCAGCTTTTTTGAAAAGGAGTTCTTCCGGCCTAATTTTACAGAACTATCCTCTTTTCCTTTTCAGGATATGTAGAACAAATTAAAAAATTACAAAACATCTGCTCTTTTTTTAAATTTTTCCCTGTTAAATTTTTACTTTTTTTAATGTTTATAAAAAAAATCTGGAACGATTAATAAATTTCTCAGAATCGACTATTTTATATTGAGAAAAATACTGTATCTAAAAAAGTATACTGATCCGTAACCTACGATCCAAAATTAATAGCGTTTTCTCTTCTCGAAAAAAATGTCAACATTTTAAAGAAAGAGCACCGCAATATGCATGTGAAGATGCTGAGAAAAGAACACGAAAGCTTGACAGCGCTGGCGGAGGGGCAACATTATTTCGAGAAAAGAAAACGCTATAAGTTTATGTGAGTCGGCATCTTTTGGTGCCATTTTAGCATCTCTACAACGTAAAAAAATAAATAAAATTAAAAAGTGAATGTGTTATATAGTAATTGATTTTTGAACACACACATACCGAAACTCATGTACACATCACATAATACTTAAAACTAAAAAACCGAGTACAGATAACACAAGGCGTCATGAGGCTACTGCAGATATAAATTTAGAAACAAAAATTGTTAGGTTAACTATAATAGGCATACAAACTTATATGCATACAGTCTTATGTAAGCAACCAATATGCATATTAAAATTTACATAGGAGTAGAAACAACATTAAGTAAATCTGTAAGTAAATCTTAAAAAAAATTAAACTGATGAGACGAACTCTTACCAAATTAGTTTTCGAAAAAATAAAATAAACAAAAACTCATATATGCAAGCCAAATTAAATAAATATAAGTAAAATCAACTAAAAAAACTGACTAAAGACAAATAATTTCATTTCGTTATTATACAAATAAATACAGTTAAGTTAAATCAGAAATGGTAAATAAATATTTGATCAAGCGGAAATTTTCGGAATATTAATATACTCTATTTATAAGGTAAATAAATACACATGTAACCAATAAGTACACTAAATAAAATCTACAATACTTTGTTTACGGTCTCCCTTAAAAATTTTAATTAATCCGATTAACTAATTTATTATGCATTATAAAAATTAAATTTGAACCTTGCTTATCCTTGCAAGTAGACAGTAATATAGCACATCGATATCTATAAATACATGTGTATGTATATTAGCATGGACCGAAAATACGCTTTTTTAGAATTTTGATTGGTAATAGCAAAAATAATCTGTGCGAAATATGACAATTTTCGGGCAATGCCTTAGGCTCACCCAAGTCCATCAAAGTACAATGTGCTTAAATAATATAATTTAATAAACTTTTTAATAAATAAATTTTTTTTTTTAATAAAAATACAATTGTCTTCGAAAGTATTGGTCCTACATAGTTTGGTATATGGATCTTTTTTGAGGAGAATCGAAGTAAGTTAAGAAACAAATTTTTTAGCACTTAAACTTTGATGAAATTGTCATATTTCGCACAGATTATTTTCGGGCCACTCTAATGTATACATATATATGTATGTATGTATTCACACATATACACGTGTAATCTGTTCAACAATAAAATCAAAGCACAAATTAAGTTTAAAAGAAGTTCGAGCTTGTTATTTCTAACATTTATTCAAGGATAATGACTTCAATTTGGATATATTCACTTCTATACATATGTACTAGACTGTGTCAAATAAAATGACTAATTTTTCTTCTTTCGGTCCATATGAAAATTTCGTTGGCGGTCACAATCAAAAATTTTGGAGGCAAAATTGCAGCCCCCTATCTTCAATTATCAGTTAGCGCTACAAAAATACGAATTTTTAATGAAAAAGAGTTGCGAGTTTAAAGTAGATAGGACACACCGTTAATTTTTGGCCATTGTTTTTTTCAGTTGAAGTTGTCGATCATTTTTTAAGGATAATTAAATTTGTAAGAGATTTGAGGGGACACATTTTTTAATTTAAAAATTAAATTTTTCTTAATGTTTTGAATAGTTTATTTAAATTTAGGACAAAAAAAAACATTATTAAGTGATTAAGAATTTGCGTTGATTTTTAACAATTTTCTAACATTTCGAGCACGTTTTTCGTATGTGGAAGAAAATGCCTAGCACCTTCAGCAAAAGAAAAATTTTAATAAAAATCAGCGTGACTTCTTGGCCACTTGAATCTTCCATTTTATTAAACGAAAATTTGGTTGGCTATTAAACGGCATAATTATTTTTTTTAAACTAAAAAAAAGAAATTTTAAAAAAAAATTTTTAACGTTTTGCATTTTTCTTCTGCATTTTTTTTTTTTAGGGTAAGCCTGTAATTTTTTTCAAGCGGTTTTCATTCTGTAACATTCATCATCAGGAACAGGAGAATCGATCATCTTTAAACTTGCTACAATAAAATAAAAACCAAAAAAGTGGACTCTTAAACCTCTTACGATGTTTATTATCTTTCAACTATATAGATGAATATTCGTTAAGAATTGTAGACTGTATACCTCTTTGAATACCGCACATGTGCAGCGCCGCAACCAATTAAAGGGTGCCCCATTAAGAAAGCGCATTTTTATTCTAAAATGCTAAGCCATACATTTTTTCGTAGTTGTGTATATATTTTAATATAAAGAGTATAGCCTGCAATCAAACGTGGACAATAACATCCCACAAATGAACACCTCGTCTTTTTTTTTTCTTCACGTCTTCTCACAATAGGGACCCAATGGTGCAATTAGCATACGTGCAGGATTTTAAAAAATTCCAAAGCAAGACCGCAAAACATCCACTATATATTTTCGGAAGTGTGTATATATGTATGTAAGCATGTGCCAGGTTGCAGCCTAACGGACAGACAGAATCGAACAAAATTTTGACATCTGGGCCAATAATAGGGTGAAGAAAATTGGGATTCGACAAGGGGGCGTAGCACCTCCCATAGGCGTGAAATCTTTAATCAGCTATAACTCCGGAACTATAAATCACTTGAACTTGAAATTTGGTATGCTGTCATATATATGGTAGTGCCTTATAGTAGGCTACATATAAATGGGTTTGTAAAAGGAGGTGTGGCACATCCCATAGACGGAAATTTTTTTACCAGCTATAACTTCCGAACCATAAGCCTCATGAGATTGAATTTGGAATTAGATACTATATCTATAGTGAGTCCTTATAGCAGGGTGTATATAAATGAGTTTGTACAAGAGGGCGTGACACATTCCATGGGCGTGACATTTTCAACAGATATAACTTCGGAACCACAGGTCACATGAATTTGAAATTTGGTGTGAGGGTCTTTGATAAGTGCTCATAGTAAGGTATATACATATATTTATATTTTTTTTTGTTTTTTTGAGAGGGACACATCCCACAGGCATAAAATTTTGTATCAGCTACAACTTCGGAACTATAATTCACAAGAATATGAACTTTGGTATGCAGACATATCTATGGTAGGTGATTATAGGAAGGTTTGTATACATGAGCTTGTAAAAGGGACCGTGGAGCGTGGAATTTTTAATCAGCCATAAATCGGGAACCATAGTCACATGAACTTGAAATTTGGTATGCCGACATATGTATGTATATGTGGGAGTGGTTTAGAGTAAAGTATATATAAATGACTTTGTAGAAGGGGGATAAAAAT